CAGAAGTTTCACAGTCCAACCAACACCCACCAACCATAAACCAACTATCAACCAACTACCCACCAGCTAACACCTGTGAAGGTTCCTGACATCATCACTATGGGAAGGCAGATAACCCAAACAGCCTACCAGAGCAAGAGCTTGGTGTAGCTCAGAGACACTGTTGTGACCTAATTGGTGGGAGAGACTTGCTGAGTACCGGTACAGTTGCTGTGTCCTCTATGGTGAGGTACTCTTTCACTACCTGATCCAGTTGAGCAGAATTACCAGAGTCAAAGACAGTCGAATCATCAGGAGCTGAGGGAGGCATCATAGAGAGAAAGAGGCTAAGTGCAGTTTGATGCCTTATGTGCTTTATTCCTCACACCTCCTATGTTTCCCAATGATGACAAGATGTCATCTCCAGGACCTGCTGTCTGTGTAGTTGCTTTGGTATCTAGACATTATTTTCTGAGATTCTTCCACTGATAGCTGAAATTCACTTCACTATTAAATGTATATATATTATACTGATTACATGCATTCATTTTCATGGCTGACTTAGGTTTCTCTATGTCACCTTTTTAAGTGTTTAGCAGTTGTGTGTGCATGTATCTTCATTATATGTGTTAACATGGTTATGATAATGAACTATCATAACCTGGGGGCTTTCTTTAGTAAGTAGTGGGGGTGTCCAGCCAAGTGTGCCTAGAAATATTGTATTCATATACTGACATATTTTGTAGTGCCAATACTTGAGTTGCCCTACTCCAGAGATAAGTTGAGCGTATATTGGCCACGGGGAATCCCTTAGCCCAATACGAGCCAAACGACTCAACATAATTATTTCTCAGTGCTGTTGGTTCTGAAGGAGAAATCCTTACATTAGGCACGCGACAGGAGTGATATGTGACAATCTGTACCTACCCACACATTTTCTGTTACCTATTCAAGCTGTGTTGATGTAGACGCCCAAGTAGTATTCATAAAATCCCCGCCTTTAGCAGGGTTCCAACACACAGCAACCGGGCACACGGGAAACAGATTTGCTTATTTACTGACAGGTAGGAGGCAGCTGACGTGCTGTAGCGGCTAGACGCTCGCTGCCGATCCAAAGGTCGTGGGTTCAGGTCCTGATGGAGCCGGACTTTTTTCCAGAAATGAACTTGGCTTCCAGGTCGACCCAACCTTAGATAGGTACTTGATAAAGTCATGGGAAGTAAAAGCGGCCGGTGTGATGTTGACCACACCACCCTTCGATTGCAGAGTGGTCCATATACAGGTCTAGCACTATATGCCAATTACGCCTGAAGGCGTGTAAAAGGGTCCTTTGACGTTCATGTGCGGCCGTGTTCCTTAAAGGGTCATAAACGCCTTCATAAACGCCTTTCACAAACACTGACGTACCTGCTTTGATTAAAGCGCCGGTCAATATAGAACAACAGAATGTTACAACAGGAGAAGGCCAACCAAATAAGAATAGGGTCCTCAGACAGACGGCAGCACACAATACCTCAGCAAGAATACCACTACACGGGATATAAGAACAACCCCCCAATCATAAATAACAGTCATGCCTAAGACACAGGAAGCATAGCCTGGAAGAAGGACGTGCAAAATGGAACCCTCATCTGGACCAAATGACCAAAAGGGAGGAACCAGACATGTTCAGATAAGGCAATAAAACATACACAAATAGGGACAATAAGCCTCAGCGGTACTAATCATGGAATTCACCCTATCTCGCTCTAGACCAAGATTTCCTATGTTCTAAGGGTGTTATGAGATGCCTCCCTCCGCTGTCTATATGGCGAAAATTTGCTGCATTCGTTGGTCGCGATCGACGCATTGTCGCCCAGACGAAACTGTGCAGCTTTCTTGTCGTAAATGTCTTTTATGTGAACGATTATCATTTCTCCAATATGCTGTTGCTGTGACATGTTGACAAGATACGACGAATAGCACAGATACAATAGACGATGAACAAGATATGACGAATAGCACAAAGGCAATAGACGATGGACAAGATACGACTGATAGCACAGATGCAATAGACGTTAGACAAGATACGACTGATAGCACAGATGGAACAGACGATTGTCAAGATATGACGGATAGCACAGATGCAATAGACGATGGACAAGATAGACGGATAGCACAGATGCAATAGACGATGGACAAGATACGACAGATAGCACAGATGCAATAGACGATGAACAAGATAGACGGATAGCACAGATGCAATAGATAATGGACAAGATACGACGGATAGCAAAGATGCAATACACGATTGACAAGATACGACGAATAGCACAGATACAATAGACGATGAACAAGATATGACGAATAGCACAAAGGCAATAGACGATGGACAAGATACGACTGATAGCACAGATGCAATAGACGTTAGACAAGATACGACTGATAGCACAGATGGAACAGACGATTGTCAAGATATGACGGATAGCACAGATGCAATAGACGATGGACAAGATAGACGGATAGCACAGATGCAATAGACGATGGACAAGATACGACAGATAGCACAGATGCAATAGACGATGAACAAGATAGACGGATAGCACAGATGCAATAGATAATGGACAAGATACGACGGATAGCTCAGATGCAATAGACGATGGACAAGAAATTGACGGATAGCACAGATGCAATAGTTAAAGCCTTATGCTGTTGTATAAGATGGATAAGGTGTGATGGATAAGGTATGATGGATAAGGTATGATAGATAAGGTATGATGGATACGGTAAGATGGAGACGGTAAGATGGATAAGGTAAGATACCTGAGCTGGCTGCTAAAGATAGAAATGCCCCGCGTGTTATGATGTCGGTTCTTGAGTCAGCTCGACTCGTACATTCCTGGGACCCATTGGGGAAGGGGGGGGGAGGAATAGACCCACTGACCCTTAGCAAGCATGCCTTAAAAGGCAATTACTAAGGGGTCTTTCCTTTTAAAGTCGGAGTGCATCTGCCAGAGAGACATGGAACCTACAGTCCGAGAATTTAAAAAAAAAAAAAGCCAGATCTGCAGAGCGAACGTACAGGCAAAACTCAAATTCTGGAACAAGACCAAAGTCTAGAAAAGGACGAACAGCCAGAACTCTCCGTTGGCGTTTACAACCGGTTAGCGCTAAGAAAACGAAACGGAACTCATTAATTAATTCTCCGACATCGGAAATCCTGGCCAATACCACTTTGCATGAATCTACAGATGCATCGTCCCACTTCCTAGTACAAGAAAACTTTTCAGGATATAAAGAAATAAATAAGCTCAAAACTACGCCTAAGAAGCTCAACATAGAGAAAGAAGAAATGGAACACACACACACAGCCGAACGTTCCGAACAAAGTCTTTATCGAAGAATAAAACAAAAGGAGTCCTAAATCACACGAGAAAGTCAAACAGGAAAAGAACTGGAGCGGAAACGTGAAAATGGGAACAGGAAGAACTGGGGTTGAAACGAAACGAGAACAAAGAAACGGGACAAGTGAGAAAAAGTAACGGAGAAAGTAATAAATTATAAATTATAATATTTTCTTTTTACATTTTGATGACGGTATGCTGAATACTGATTTCAACAGCTCAGAAAATCCGCTGGATGTAAATATTTTCAATTAAGCCCCTCTTTGCTGGTACCACGCTTTTACCAAATTCAAGAATCTTTAGATTTACTGTTCCGGTTGTTAACTGTGTGTTTACTTATCATCAGCATATGGCATGCCCATAAGTGTAGCTCAGCGTGGTCCATCATTTCAAACCATTACTAGAGCCACAGATCAGGCTGTGTTCTTGTTGCGTGCGTTCACTCAATTCTGACACAGATGATCTTCTATCCCATAATGTCAGCACCGTCTCTCTCGGTCTCCCTCTGCCTCTTTTCCCGCGATTACAAGGTACTCCTGTTTGATTTTTCTCTAATGACATGATGATTATTTCCTTCTGATGTGGGCAGTCAGGTCTTTTCGTCGATCAGTTTCTTTCAAGACACCCTAATTACTTCTTTTTATCTATTCAGGGTGTTCCCGTCATTCGTCTATAAAACCACATATCCGATGTCATTACTTAATATTTCGCTAATCGGCCAACTGTCCACGATTCACTTCAGTATATCAAGATAAATTTACTTAGCTGGTTATAATTCTTTTTCTCTCTCAGTTGACAAAGAAAGATTGCATAGAATATTCCTAACATATTTTAGTCAACGACATACCTATGCAGCGGAGTGGTCAGATCCCTTTATCGCTGTTCCCTAGCGCCCCCCCCCCCCCCACCCCTACTCACTCCCTCAACAAAGAAAACTAGAAAATGTTCTGGTACTAGCTACTATGAAACCGAGTCGATCTAGAACCCACCAGGTACTGAATCCGGACCACTAGATAGTACTAAACAGAAAGTGAAGTACAGCACCATTTCTCCACGCCTGCAGGCGAGTTGGGCACATAGGGCTAGACCAATTTTATATACCAAATCGACAATTGCTGGGCGATGCGATAAGCATCACGTTGTTGCCTTTACTTCCCATAAATTTACCTCCTACCCATTTAAGACTGGGTCGATCTAGAAGCCAAGGTCATTTTTGAAAAAGAAAAAAGTTCAGCAGCGTTTGAATTTGAATCCATGACCTTCTGATCTGCAGGCAAGCGTCTTGCCACTTCAAGACGGCGGCTCCCAGTACTAAACAGTATCCAACAAATTCTAAACAGTATCCAACAAATTCTAAACAGTATCGAACAAATTCTAAACAGTATCCAACAAATACTAATCAGTATCCAACAAATACTAAACAGTATCAAACAAATTCTAAACAGTATTCAACAAATACTAAACAGTATCCAACAAATACTATAACAGTATCCAACAAAAACTAAACAGTATCCAACAAAACCTATTACAGTATCCAACAAATACTAAACAGTATCCAACAAAAACTATAACAGTATCCAACAAAAACTATAACAATATCCAACAAATACTAAATAGTATCCAACAAATACTTAACAGTATCCAACAAATACTAAACAGTTTCCAACAAATACTAAACAGTATCCAACAAATACTAAACACTATCCAACAAATACTAAACAGTATCCAACAAATACTAAACAGTATCCAACAAATACTAAACGGTATCCAACAAATACTAAAAGTATCCAACAAATACTAAACAGTATCCAACAAATACTAAACAGTATCCAACAAAACCTAACTGACAATTTCCACAGCCGATTCCCAGCATCCGTTACTAATTCTGTATTTTATTGACAAAGTAAATGTCTCTGGAAAAAGATATCTCCTTTCTCTCTTTCACTGATCATACAAAACCTCAACATTTGTAAAACAAAGAAAGTCGCCATCAATATTTCAAAAGCAGACTTGACATCAAAAGTGGGAGTTGACGTCTTTGGACCCTGCAAGGGATGGGAACCAGCAACCGGAAGTGAGGAGGGACAGAATGACCCAGGAGCAACGTGGTTCCGGTGAGCAGTTTGTCTAACAGGTGATTCGCCCCTGAAATCGCAGGAACACTTATTATCACCCTAATAAACCTGTTTTACACATTAACTTTAAATAGCATGTTTTCACTTTTTTATCTTATCATTTACACACAATAGGCGTTTTTTGATTGCCTTTTCGCAAGAAATAGTGCTGTTGTTGTGTTAGATTATGTGTGGTGTGTGTGTCTTTTGTTATGTTTTATCATTTATAGCATTTGTTATCCCCCTGACTCCTTTATATTCCTTTCCAAATTTCGGAATAAGAAGAAAAAGTATCTAACACATAAAAAATGTCGTATTCACAAAAAACATACCTGGCG